AGAAGGGAAGGGGATAATCTTGTTTTTAAAAGTAGGAAATTAGGGGTGCCTGGATGGCTCATTCATTCGACTATAGGTTTCAGCTCAGGTCCTGATCTTGTGGTTTGTGAGCCTGAGCCTCCCCTTTCTCCCACCAGGATCTGTGCTGAACTGTGGGGAGCCTGCCTGGGATCCTCTCTCTTGGCCCTCCCCTGTTGGGGCTCTCTCTCTCAAAATAAATAAATAAACTAAAAACAAAAACACCTTTAAAAGTAGGCAATTAAGGGGTGCCTGGCTGGCTCTGTCGGTAGAGCATGCAACTCTTTATCTCGAAGCTGTGAGTTTGAGCCCCACAGTGGGTGCAAAGATTACTTAAAAACAAAATCTTTAAAATAAATAAAATAAAAGTAGAAAATTAATTTAAAAAAAGAAAAATACTCCAAGTATTCTACTCCTGGGCACATTCTCTACATAACAAAAGCATTCATATGCACATCAAATTACACAGAACATTCATAGCATCATCATCCATAAAAGCCCCCAACTGGAAACCATGCAAGGGTCCAGAAATAAATTATGGAAAATTATACACTATGAAAATGACCAAACCATACATCATAGCATGGATGAATCTTCAAAACTGCCAAATGAAGAAATTCAAAAACCGAGACTATGTATAATGTCTATAAAGTTCATCAAGAGGCAAACCTAAAAGCAGTGATAAAACCAAAATGTGATTGCCTTAAGTCGGCAAGGTTACATCTCTAGTGGGCAGAGTAGGATGCTGTATTCAAGGCAAGGCATGCAGTAGGCAGGGAAGCTCAGAATGCTGGCCAGTATCTAATTTTATCCAGGTTATAGTTATGCAGGGCAATCACTTTAGTATTATTCATTTAGGTGTACATTATGCTTTACACATTTCCTTTATGTATGTTACATCTGTCACATATATGCACAGTCTTCAAAAAAAAAAAAAAATCATTATAGGAACCAAAGTTTGTGATCCTGACCTAGATCCTGGAACTTGAACACAGCTGTGATGAGGGGCATGGGCCCTGCAAGGTGGGATGCCCACAACAACAAAAAAAGAGGCCTGGGATGTACAGATCCGGTAGGAGACAAAAGATAAGTGACATGAGGTGAGGGACCAGGAAAAGGTCTGCATCCCCTCCCACGTCTATGCCCTGCTTACCCAGGTAGTTCTGCCAGCAGTTCCTGGTCTGGTTCTGGTTGGGGAAGCGGCTGTCAAAAGGGGCAGTCTGGTAGTTCTTGATTTTGGTCTTGATGTCTTCTGCCATCGTGCTGAGTCCTGGAGGCATAGGCAGTGGAGGTTGGCAAAAGTTCTAAGGGACCTGGGCATGGGGAGGTCAGCCCACCCAGACACAGAATAATGGGGTAGGTTAGGTGTGAATCAGCCACCACCTTCTACCTCTCAGCATATACAAACAGAGGTAAAGCGTGGGGCAAATCCACACATCTAAGTGTGGAAGTCACAGCAGGGCTTGGCAGGGCGGGGGGATGGGACTCCTTAGCAAAATCGGGCCTTATTCGTCCCAAAATAACACTGGCTAACATTCACCGAGTACTCAGTATAGGCCAAGCACTGTTCTACACACTTTACTCCTGCAGCCACTCTAAAAGGTAGGAACTATTACTTATTACTATCACTGTTTCACAGACAAGGGACAGGGTATCCAAGTGACTTCCCAAGGTCACACAAGTGGAGGAGCCACACTCCATCACTGACAGATCTACACTGTAGAGGTTCTTAATCTCCTTGGTACCATGAACTCCTCGGGGATCTAATGAACCCTTTCTCAGAATATTTTTTAATGCATTAAAAGATTGCATAGGACCATAAAGAAAACCAGTTGTATGTAGCAGAGGATTTATTAACTACCACAATTCTGAAGTAGTCACGAGTGAAGATGTATTCTGTGACATCAGCAACCATAATGTGATATAAGATGACCTGTGATTTTGAGTGCTGACAAAGCGACAGATGATGCTAATATTACCAAGATTGATGCCTCCATTCTTAAAAGGAAATGCTACATTTAAATTAGAGATTAAGAAGAATAAAGGGGTGCCTGGATGGCTCAGCCTGTTAAGCCTCCAGCTCTTGATTTCAGCTCAGTTTGTATCTCATAGTTGGTGAGTTGGAACCCCGCATCAGGCTCTGTGCTGACACTCGAGGAGCCTGCTTGGGACTCTCTGTCTCCCTCTCTGCCCCTCCCCGCTCGCTTCTCTCAAAAATAAACAAACAGTTAAAAAGAAAGAAATTTTAAAAAAGGTTAGGAAAAATACCTATGTAATTTTCCCCCCTTCAAGTACTAGCACACCTTGCATTCTATGGACTTTGCAGACTGAGAATCAAAAAGCTCTGCTGTATCTCTTATGAGGTGACACACAGTTTTCTCCATGGAATGTGAAACTGCCTCTATTCCAGAGAATTCAAAGAGTAATGGGGTTACAAAGGCCCATGTAAATTCAAGGGACCCAAGGTAGTGAGCAGGCCAGTGTTAAATTCAAGGGACCCAAGGTAGTGGTGGGGATCTGGGGCACCACAGTAGAATCTTTGGGGGGAAAGGGTAGAGGCGCATGGGGAGGAGACGTAGAATACCAGCGCTGGGACACAGAAGAAGAGTTGTTCTGAAGTGTTGTTTTGGGGGGAGACCTGGGAGGGAGGGTGGTTCAGGAATGACTCTTAGGCCCTCTAACATTCAAGAGGGAGGAGGAACCAGAAACCTGGGTGCAAGGCCAGGCCGCGGCCCGGGCAAGCCACGGGAGCCACGTCTGCTTACGGCCTGCTGATTGAGGGCACTACAGTCCTAACTACGGAATCCAAACCCCGGTCGCCGGCTAAGTAGCTTAATATCGCTGATCCTCAGTTGCTTCACTGTCAAAAAGGGATAATTGCGGGCCTTTCCTCATAGGGCTGGAGTGAAGATTAAATGAATTAATAAAGTCGCGTGAAACGTTACCTGGCATTAATTAAGGAAGACCGAAATAATCGTTAGCTACGAATACTAACAGAACAGGACCCTAGGGACCAGGGGGGGCCAGACGCCGCGGGCCGGAAACTCACTTCGTCCTCGGAGAAACGAGGGTCCGGTTCCTCAGTTCCCCAGGATAGGGTCCCAGCTTCCCAAGCCCTGGACACTCACCTAAAGACACCCCCGAAGCACCTCGCAGCTCAATGTGACCCTCAGCAAAGACGCCAGAGTCGGACCGGAAGCGGAATTGAGGCCGGCCGGAAGCGGAGCGAGTCAGCCTGTGTGAGAGTTTTCCGCGAGGCTAGAACGCCCGCGGAAAAGCCGTCTCTGGAGCCATTAAGGCCACGCCCATCCGGGAGAACTCCGAAATCCTATTGGGCTGAATGCCTGTTGATCATCACTTCCGGCCCAATCGTGAGCTAGCGTGCGCATTTCAAAGGTCCGACCTGGGGCTTGAGACGCCTGGTTACAGTTTCTCATCTCTTGTTTTTACCTAGGGAAAGGAGTTTCGAGTCCTGGGACTATCTGTAGAGTGGGCCGAGGGAAAAGTATCCCAGCGGAAGTATCCTTATTCATGCAGGTATTGCTTGTTTAACGCTTACCCAGTGCCAGGTACTTCGATAAGGGTTGGGGATGCATCATTGAACAAACACGAGTCCCTACCCTCTTCATGATTATTACGGGATCAATTGTTAGGGGTTTGAAATCGAACCAGTCTTTCTCCCAGGGTCATTTGTCATACTGTGAGGAATATCCAGACTCCCACCTCCCTGTTCATTACCGTCTTTCCCCAAACTCCAGAAGGCACAAATTAACACAGATTTGGGTGCCTGAAGGCTCAAACCAAAGTCCTGCATCACAGAGAGGAGGGGTTAAGAACATAAAAGCTTGGGTTTGGCAGAAATTAGTCCATCTTGGAAAGTGACACATCTATTCTAGTCACAGAGGTATCCCTGACTCTCACACCTCACAGCTAGCTGATCAAGAAATCTTGTCTTTGCCTGAAGCAATGTATCCAGAATCTTCGACATCTGGTTCAAGCCACAGGCACAGCCAGCCTAGGCTATAGAAGCAGCCCACACCCTAGCCTCCTGGTTTTCCCACTGCCCTCCACAATCATCCACTCAGCCAGAGAGGCCCCGTTAACACCTCAGTCATCACTTCCCTTTGGCTTAGAACCCTCCCATTGGGTCTTGTCTGACTCTTTCAGTCAAAAGCCAAAGTCCTTATAAATGACCTACACAGTTTGGTCCCTCTTATACCCTCATTTCTTATCCTTTTCTCTTTATTCCCACTGCTCCAGCCATACTGGCCTCTTCCTGTTTAAACACGCAGTCTGGATTCCCTCTAAGGGCCTTTTGTGTTTGCTCTCCCCTTGGCCTGGAATGCTTTTTGTGAAGCTGGCTCCCTTCCTCACTTCCTTCAGGTCTTTGCTTCAATGTCACCTTCCTGGTGAGTCCTTCTCAGACCAATTATTTAAAATTGTCATTTTGTCAGTCCATAGGAGGACCACTCTTTAGGGACTCAGTGGTTCCCAGAATGGGGTAGGCTCTCCTTGGGATCTAGATCCAAGTTCAACCACCCTCAACTTGGAGTGGTGAGACAGTAGGTGGTTTGGGGGATCTAGCACTAAGTCTAATTACTTAATGGTCCCAAGCACTGGAAGAACACACATAAGTCCTCTTTTGGAGTTTTGAGTCTTCTCTTCAGAAGGGACACAGCAGGTAAACTCAAACGTTAGTGATTGGGTCCGATTCCTTTACGAGTCCCAGCACGGGCAGGCACACAGTAGGCCCTAAAGGGACTGAGTTGATTCCTTTGAATATCCCATCACACAGTGAACACACAAGTAGGTCCCCTAAGGGTCTGGGTGTGTTTTAGTCACCGCGCGTCTTAAGATCACACAGGCCGGGGGTGGGGGTGGGATGTGAGTGTGGTGGTGCACACTTAGGGTCCTTAGTGGGTTTAGTCAGTGTCAGTGGGAAGGACGCAGGCAGCACACACGACTAATTTGACGGGGTATTTTTATTGGGTCGCTCCTCCCGGTCCACCTCCCGCGCAGTCGTTATGGACCAGGCCGGGTACGCGGCCCCCAAAACGGTACGTGTACTTGCGCCCACCGCTCTTACGCACGATGTCGCGGCGGTAGTAGTAGCGCAGGCCTCGGCTCAGCTTCTCGTAGTTCATGCCGGGCTTCCTCTTGCGCTCACCCCAGAGCCGCGCCACCTAGGACGGAGGCTGGGCTTAGTCTGAGAGTCAGGAGGGAGCCTGGCTAGGCAACAGACGCACGGGGCGGGGGACGCGGTTTCGGGTACGTTTTGGGCAAGAGTTAGTCCCTTTAACTCCTGCGGGGGTAGAGATGAGTACGAGCTGGGGTGGGGTGGGGGAGGTCAAGTGCTAGGCAAACTGCCTCGGCTCAATTGAACTGAAGGAGACTGGGGCGAGACTGGGGCGGGACTTGGCGGGTCTGGGAAGCTGCCCCACCTCTCTGGGGTCACACAGCTGGAACTCGCGGCTGTTGCCCGTCCAGCGGATGCAGTTGCTACGCTCCCCGTCTCGGAGCAGCTCCAGGAGGAACTGCCACAGCTGAATGGGACCTGAGGAGTGCAGGCAGGTGAACACTCAGGCTTCCTAGCCCCGGACCAAGTCGCTTCGATGACCCATATGTCCGGGCTCCCTCGCCTCGAAGGGTCCACGTGTCCGGTTTTCCCAACTCGGGGCCCAGAAGTCCATCCCCTTCGGGCCCAGCGAGTCCGGATCCCTCCATATAAGGATCCCCAGCATCGGCCTCAGGGACCCAGGCAGCCGGGGCCCCCATCTCTGAAATTTAGGAGTTTGGGTGCCACATCTTGGAGACCCAGATATCCAGACCCTCACCTCTTTCCTCTCAACTAATCCAGGAGCCTAGGTCTCTTGCTCCCTGGAAGACTACCAGTGTCTTAGTCCTCTCCTCCCCCAGGACTCACCATCACCACCTCTCTCGGACTCTTAGGTAACAGCCTCGCCCCCTCACTTCCAGTTTCCTGGGTCCCGCCCCTACGCGCCTAGGCCCCGCCTCATTAGATTCGGGTCTTGCGGACCCCTCACCTCGATGGTTACTTTTGGGGTAACAAGCCAAGGTTACGTGGTCCGACTGCTGGCTGGGTTCAGAGGACGTGGTGAGATCTGAAGCCTGGTATCCCTTTGAAGAAGTGGTGCAGTCCGTATGCAGCCCCGAGACCCAGGAGGTGGTAGAGTCTGAGACCGCAGGTCCAACCCACGAAATGGTAGAGTCCGCGTGAGGCTCCCCGCGGAGGCCCTTGCCCCAGTAGGTGGCGCCGTCGAGACCAATAGAACTGTCCCAGTTGGTGGAGCTGGGGGCGGCCTGGGCACAAGACCACGAATTGGTCCCTCCCCCCGAGGTGGCACAGTTCTGATCCGTTGTCCCCGCAGAACCGGCGAAGGGGGCGGGGCCCAGGCCGGGAGGGGCGGGGCCCGGGGCCTGGGAGAAGCCGTTCCAGTGGTCCGAGCCGTTGCACGTCAAGTCCGTCCAGTCTCCTGACCACGGAAGAGCCTGACGGGCGGGATCTGTGAGGAGCAACAGATCTCAAGTGAGGGGAGCCTAGGTGTCTCGGTCTCTGGCCCGGGGGTTCTTGGAGTCTAAGCTCTAAGCCCTGGGGCCCTGGGCTCCCGGATCTAGGCCATGCCACCTCGAGGACACAGGTGTTTCCCGTCCTAGCCCCGTTCCCCTCAACGATCGAGTAGTTTAAACCTCCAGCTACGGAGGAGGACCCCAGTCCCTTTCTTCCCCCGCCTCTGTGTACACACTCACCCGCCTCCCATGTAGCTTCTGGATGCATTAACGTGGAGCCCCAGTCCAGCGGTGAGAGCCCTGCGAGGGATAAGAACGGAGTTTAGGGAAGGTGTGAGCAGTGACTAGAGACGTCCCCTCGATCACTCACGCAGCAGTCTTTATTCTTCAGGGAATGAGTTATTACCTCCAGCCCCTACTCAAGCATACCTAGAACTCAGGACCCTGGCCTCGTCCTCTTTCAACCTCAGGACTTCAAGCCCGCAGCCCTCCCCCCATTTGGCTCCGGAGTCCAGGAACACACCCTTCCTCCCTCAGTCCCAGCAGCCCAGTCTCTCACCTTCCTCAGCTCCCAGGTGTCCCAGCCCAAAACCACCTTTCCAGCGTGTCTCCACTGTCAGCGTGTCCCCTGGGAACGCCAGCTCAGGGAAATAGAAGCCGAGCTCAGCTCCTTCTGCAGGCAATGAGGAGGTTAGGGCTGGGTCGGGGTCAGCAGAGACCCCCACCTGTGCACCCTCCCCATACAGTGACTCAGTGCAGCAGCCTACCCAGCCCTGAAAGCCTGTTCCCTGGGGGCACTTCCTGCGGTGAAGCTTCATCCCAGTTCCACAAGTCCATGGATGCTCCTTGTGAATGTTCTGGGCAGGGGAAAAAAGGGGAAGGGGTGAGCTGGTGACACTTAGGGACCTTGGAGTCTGGCTGGAGACTCCCTCAGACCCAGAAGTCCAGGCCTTTTGTTCCCTTCTTCCCCGAGACCCTGGAATCTTGGCCTCCAGTGTCCTTTTTTCTCAGACTAGGAGTAGGGGACCTCAGCCCTCTCCCTCCCTCAGACCCAAGAGTCCAGACCCCTAGACATCCAGTCCCCAGTTCATGGCTCACCTCTGGCGGGTTTCTCTGTCCCCAGCCAGGGGTCTCAGCCCCATTTCATACCATGCACCCCCTCCCCTGGGGGCCGGGGCAGGGGGGGAATTTTCCGAGACGTCAGAGCTGGGGGTCGCAGCTGGGTCGAGTTGCAGGGACAGAGGCGGGGCCAAGCGTCGTCCCCCCCCACCCTCCACCCCCCTCAGGGATGGCCGTCCGCCGCCTCCTGACAGCTCCGGCTATCCTGTTGCGGGGATGGCTTGGACTTGGACAGGAGCTTGGGGAACAGCGGGCTGCGCGAGACCCGGGGTGCGGAGGGGAGTTTACGGGGTGATGGGGGTGGGGCGGGGGACTTGCTGGACAGGTTCTCCGTCTTGGGTCTTGATCCTGCGACATGGGGGGGGGGGAAGGGGGGAGGGTCTGGGGTCAGTTGGGTTGCGCCAGGCTTATCTACAACAGGAAGGGGGATTTCCGGCCAGACCCCAGGTCGGCCTACGTCACAATCTGCAGGGGGACTGCGTGGGGGGTGGGGAGGAAGGATATGGTTGGGGGAAGCTGACCCAGAATCCCCAACTGGGCAGAGTTCTCCCCTTCGAGGGCTTTGAGGACGACATTCTGGGGCTGCTCTTGAGGAGTGTCAATCATGGTAACAGCATCAACGATACAAATAATGACGACAGTACTTCTAATAGCTAACATTTATTGAGGGCTCATTGTCTGCCACCAACTGTGTCACTGGGTTTTCACTTAATCCTTTTATGAGGTAGGTACTAGTCTTCATTTTATGAAAGGGGAAATTGAAACAGACTTCCTTCCACTTCTCTTCATGTCCAGAATCCATGCCTTTCCATGCTATAATAGTTTGAGACAAATGGGGAAATTTTGAGTATGAACTGAATATAAGATATAGAATTATTCATTTTCTTAGATGTGATCATGGTATTATAACATGAAAGATGTCTCTATAAGGAAATGGACACATATTTAGGGGCGAAGTGTTATGATGTCTGTAACTTACTTCAAATGATTTGGCATCCCCCCCGCCCCCCACGTATACATATAACATATACATCTATACATGCAATAGTTGGGACATACTTATACTAAAAAATTATTTGTTTATTTGAGCTTCAAATTTAACTAGGTGTCCTGTATTTTTATTTCCTAAATCTGGTAACCCTAAACCCAGGTAGCTTGGCTTCAGAGCCTGTGGTTGTACCCATTATGCTGTATTAGTAAGTGTTTACCATTAAAAATAACCTCCTTAATAATGGGCATTTTTCAATATTCACCCTGCTTGACCATTAATCACTTACCATTCTGAGGGTAGGAGGATGGAGGTGTGAGCACTACTCTTCTGTTGGTGTTCCATGAGGAAACTGGGCTTGAAAGGGGAGAGCCACTTCCCAGGGCACATGATGGGTGGGTGGTGTTGGGACTGGCTTCAGCATTGGGTGAGCAAAGAGCTCCCAGGCCACTGCTCCGCCATCTATCTAACCCAAGGACCTGAAGGGTACCTTAACCTAGTGTTCCCCACCATGCCCCAGGCCTCCTCCCCCTGAAGCTGGTCTCTCTCCTGTGTGTCAGTCTCCATGACTCCCTACTCTAGGTTGGTGTCCCTGGCTCTGGGTCTCTGTTGCACCAGGCTTGATCCAGTGAGGCCTTGTCACCCAGTCTCTCCTGCTGAATCTCAGTCCCTTCCCTTCTCTCTCCTTACTTCCTTATCTCTCAAGTCTCCATCTCTCTCTCTCTCTGCGTTTTCTCCCCATCTTCCCTCCCATTGTACTGCCTTGACCTGCCATTCTCGCCTCTCCATCTGTCTCTCTCATCTCTGCTTGCCACATCCTCTCCATCTCTGTCCATCTGGCTCCCAACCCCACCGAGCTTTCTTTCCCTTTCCTCAGGAAGACTTAAACACACACATTTAAAACTTCATTTTTGGAATCATTCCCTCTTCCCATCTCCTCCCTTGTTGCCCTCCCTGACTGAAGTGAGCAGAAGGGGGTCAGGAGCAGGGAGGGCTAGTGATGTGGGGATAGGGTCTGAGGGTCCTGGGGCTGGGTTGTCTGGCCCAGGTGACAGGGGGCTGAAGGACACTTCCTGTGAGGGAGGGAGACCCTCACCCTTCTAACCAGACTGGAAAATGTGACGTCAGAGAGGGAGCAGTAAGGGAGGAAGGCGGGAACAGAGGAAATTTGACACCTCTCCTGGGTAATCAGCTTCCTGAGAGGCCTTGGCATTGTTTCCTTCCTCCTCTGAGTGCCCCTTCTCAACCCAGGGTTCTGCTGGCTTTGGCCCTGGGAGACCCTCATCCCCTCCCCATGCTTGAATCATGGAGTATCCCTCTTCTGCCTGGTCCCTGCCCTAGCCCCTTTCAGACCTCCAGTCCACAGCACGGCAGTGTCAGGGCTGTTTCTAAAGTGCAAATCTGATGCCAGTCCCCGCGTGAACTTGGTTTCAACTACTTAGGGCCTGCTGCTGCCTTCGAGGCAAAGTCTAAGCTCTTAGCCTAGTGTTCAAGATTCTGCTTGGACACTTCAGACAGGCAGAGTCAAGCTTGGGGCTGGGAAAAGAGAGACCTGCAGATGCAGAGAATAGAAACTCAGAGAGATACAGACACTTAGAGACAAGAAACAGAGGGGCACTCACAGAGACATTCAGGGAAATAGACACAGAGAAACACTCGAGGACGCCCACACAGATGTACGGCAAGAGAAGTTGGCTGGGGTTTGGCAGAGTGAAGAAACTGGAAAACAGTCTGAGATCCAGAGGATGAGAACTGCAGAAACTGGGAGAGAATGACACGAAGAGCATGAGACAGACGCAGAAGTGGCGAGTTCCTTCAGGAAGCCCTTCCTGACTGCCAGGTCAGCACCCTGGGCTCCACTATCCCAGTCCCGACCACTCTGGGCTCTCACTGTGTGGCAGTGGGCCAATCTTCTGCCACTGGACCATGTGCTCTGAGGGAACAGGGCCTGAGACTGCTTCAGTCACCATGTCCCCAGCACTGGCTAGGCCTTCGGTGAGGTTGCTGAATGGATGAAAGCCTGGAAGGCTGTGGGCTCCAGAAGGCCTGGTCCAGAAGACCCCCCACCTTGGTGCTGAGAACACAAGCTGGAGTGAGAAGACAACGGGTCTGAGTCTCAGCTTGGCTTTGGCCTTGCTAAAAGCCTCTGCTTCCTCCTTTGTGGAATGGGCTGTACTCAGCACACACTTAGGAGGTTTCAGGAAGATGTGACAGGCACTGAAAATGCCCATTTACATGTTTGGCTAGGTAAACTTATAAAGCTCCCCACTATTTCCAGGTCTGGGGATGTCAAGCCCTGCTCCCCAAAGAGTGCTTCTAAGCCCAGCCAGGGATGGAAATAACGTAAATTTATTGAAACTGGTTTTGGGGAGGGTGGATGGGTGGATAGTTGGGGATCTTCCAAAGAGAACTGGGGGAAGAGCCAGCGCCCGGCCAGGTGGGAGCGGGTGCCTGGCCACAGACCCTATCTTAGGCCCAGTTTCTTCTTCTCCTTCTGCTTCTTGCGCACCACATCCAGGTTCCGGTCCTTCCACATACTCTTGCGCAGCTTGATGGGGCGCGAGCCCACATACTTCCCTGTGGGAATGGAGGGTTCAAGGTCAGGCTTGGGGTCAGGCTTAGGCCAGATGCTGGTCACACCCACTGTCCCTAAGAGAGGTTTCACCTACCATTCATCTCACGCATGGCGCGCACATAGTCACTGGGGTCCTTAAAGCTGACGAAGCCATAGCCCTTGGTCTTGCCTGTGCGCTTGTCTCGGATCACCTTAGCCTTAAGGAAGGATGGGAAGCGGCTGAAGGCGCGTGCCAAGATGTCATCGTTCACTTCATTGCCCAAATCCCCACAGAAGATCCGGAAATCATCTGGGGTTGGGAGAGAGGAGGTCAGAAGATGCAGATGCCTGGCCCCATGTCTGCCTTATTTAGATAGCCCCACCTTCTCTGAAGGCATCCCCCAAACCCTCCTCCCTCTATCCCCAGCGGTCTCTGCCTGGGGCCCTCTCAGTAACAACAGCCAACACCTATATGCTATTTACCCTGTGCTAGACTCTGCTAAGCACTCGTGAGGTTTTAACACATCCGGCACTCCCAACACCCTTTAACACAGAGGCACAGAGAGGTCATGTCACCTGCCCAATGTTACTCAACTAGGAAGTGGCAGAGCTGGGACAAGAACTCTGGTACCTGACTCCAGAGTCCTCGCCTTTACCTCCCCACCCCAGAGCCATGTTCTCCATTCCCATGAATTAAGGCTCCAACTTTGTCCTAGCCAGGCTTCTCCTCTGAGTCCCCAGCATCCCTTGGTCCCCATGGATATCCCCTGGGCCCCCCACACCCATTTGCTTTAGAGAAAGCCCATTCTAACTCCCCCCTTGAGTCTCTGAAACGTGAACACACTGTCGGATCCTTCTCCAAGGCTGACCTCAGCTTCCACTCCTGGGCATACCCTCTGGGCTGGACCTGAGCCAGACTGAATGTACTCAAGCCCAAAGAATCCCTTCTGCCACAAGGCACATACTATTATTATCCCCTTGTTGGAGTGAGGAAAGGATAGAAAGGCTAAGTGACTTGCTCAAGATCACAGAACTAGGGGCTACAGCCCGCACCGACCATACCTAGGCTGACATTGCCATGCCCTGGCCTGGAGCAGGTAGACAGTCCCAAAACAAGAGGCAGAAGTCAAGGACTCAGATGGGAGGCAGGGCTGTTTTCTCAGCTAGCACTGTGGT